TGTTTTTGTGATACAATTCATTACAACCTATTGCCCTGCTACAGAGTGAAATTAGCCCTAGAGCCAAAGCTTCAGTGAGGCCTGAACCTTGTGCTGGTTTTCTGTGCAGGCTGTACTGAGTCCTGGAAGATCTGTTCCTGCTCATAAGGCTACACGTTGGTCAAGAGGGATCCCACCTGTCTGATGCAGCTCTGGGCATCATCAAAGTCATTCCCTGCTCTTGCTCTGGTGCGGCGTGTGGCAGGTGGACCCACGAGCCCCACCGCAGGTGCACGGGTGCTCCCATAGGTACATTGCAATCTGCAGCCACAAGAAGAAGGACATCTCTGCAGCTGCTAAAAACAGGTAAAGTGGAGAAATCTTGGTCCTAACGCTACAGTAATTAACAGATGCCTTCCACTGTAACAGGACACAACTGGAGTGTAAATATGTAGCGCAGTGGTTGGAGGGACAGAGAAAGGTTGAGAGGCCACACTGTACAATGCTCTTGTCACCAGCACTGGAGCCAGCCACAGGAGAAAGAACAGCAATGACCATGTAGCATTAGTATTTCATAATCAGTGCTTTCTTGTCAACTGTGAGTTTCAAAGCACTTACAAAGAGGGCAGTATCATTATCTTCATTTTACTGATGGGATAAACACATAGTCAGGAAAAATTACTTACTGAAGGGCATGCAGCAGAGTATCAGCAGAACAATGACAAAATGACTGGCATTTCTTAAACACCATCTTTTCTGGCCATCTCTGTGCTCCCAGGAATCCAAAGCGTGTATAGCTGGTGGCAGTTGATAGTTGCTACAGTTATTTGCCTGCAGGAGAGTGCAAACTACCATGGAAAGTTAATTGTTGTGTATGTACCCCTCCTCTAACCAGCAAATTATCTGTCCCTATCCACAGAAAATACAGGAGAAGTTGGTGGTGGTGTGGTGACAGGAAGACACTTCTGGAAGATGTACATACACATATTTAAATACATCTATATGTAGTTGTACAGTTTGTGTGTATATATAAATATAAAAATAGATGTGTGTGTATATATGTATATATCAAAAACATGAAAAAATAATATAAAAATAGATAGATAGATAGATAGATAGATAGATAGATAGATATGCACACACACATTTATATGTTTGTATAGACACACTGTCATATGCAGAGACCTGGTAGAACAAGAAGCTTCCTGTCCAAGTTTGAGGCAGAACTTGTTTGTGGTATCTATAAATAGCATTTTTTTCACCTAGGAACTGACCTTGATCAGGTTGCTGGAATAATTGGGTTAGAGAAACAATCTGCAGCAGCTGCTTCATAAGTAAATATGAAGCAGCTCCTTTCTTAAAGGGGAGGGAACAACTTTCCTCAGTATATTCTGTGAGTATAAACTTTAATATAAGATTATTATCTGCACATTACCTAGATGCACATGATGCATATAGTAGGACCTGTCATATGAGTAAGCTCTGCTTGTTTAACCACAACAATAGTACTCATAGGGAGCCATAATTGTTATGCTGTTGTTTATAACCCATGTCAAAAGAAAAATTTGCACAAATACAAAGTTCTTTTAGGAAATTAAGACTTCTTATTTATTTGAGGGGGAAGGGGGGGAAACAACCTAAATTATTTTACTACTTACAGGCAAAGTCATTCTTACTGCATTACCTATTTTAAAACTCACATCTCATTCAATTAAGATTTCATACCATTGACAAAATGAGGCTGTACTGGAAAAAAAAATACTGCAATACCTGCTGTATACAAGCCCATAAATAAACTGCAAGATTTTAAGGCTTCAAAAGTGTGAGGACAGGAAGAGATTGTTTAAAGATTCATTTGAGCATTTCTTATTCAGTACATTTGCTGCATTCAGCAACAACAAAAATACATTAAATCAAACAAAAAGAATGGACTTGGATGGCAATGGAACATATTTGTACTTTGTGGTGGGGTTTTTCTTTTTACTACTTTATCAAAACCAGACGAAATCCCATTCCCAACCCAGTATTATAAATACAGTGTTCTAGCCCCTAACCCCATGTGACATAAACAACAAGATAAACTGCTTCATCACAGGTAACATTCAAAAGTTACAGCACGGGATGCAGGTTATCCGCAGTGGATCTCAGCAGATACAGGATAATAAATGCTCCCTCCAGATATAATACATCTATGTCACATTCTAAAGTATAAAAGCAAAACCATTTCCACGAAATTTTGGTGAACAGTTTTAAAATACAGTATACCTGGGTGAAAAACAGATTTAGCCTTTCATACTATTGGCATTTCATACTGTCATTTCTATGTCATGGGGTTTTTTTTTAAATGGACCTTGGGTAGTGACATAGGTGACTAATGTACATCAGCACAGGAAGAAATGCAGGCAATGAAAGTTGTCTAGATGGGAATAGCCTTAAAAAATAAAATAATTATAATAAAAAAGCTTTTATATGTCCTCTGGTTCATTCACAGAACTGTTTGTATACAATGATTAAGAGAGAAATAATCAAGGAGAGTTTAAATCTGTGTCCACGGTCACAGTGTAAAGGAAATAAACAAAACCCACAACAAAAAAACACATACTCCAGTATAAAAAATATGCTTAAATACATTGTCTGCACGCAATACAAACACTGAATTCTGTTATCACAGTACTGTTCTGTTACAGTCTCCTCCATACATTCCAAGGGCTCCTCCTACTATGTCTTTTGGGGAAAAAAAATAATCATTTTCAGGCTAAGGGAAGTCCACCTGTTTGCACAGCTGTAAGAAAATCCAATGTAGAAAATGTTAGGAAAAAGGCATACACAAAAGCCAAAGTACAGATGTAGCCATTTAGATATTTAGCTTTTACTGACCCATCTTTTAGAGTTAGCTGTCAACAATTTGAGTTTAGTTTGAAGCCTATATATTTCATGCACCTATATGTGTGGTATGCAGTATGACACATTCTGCTCTGTTTCTGCTGTATACATCTAGCATATACATATGGTGAAACTAAGATAATTTCTGTAGAATGTTTCAATTTATAGCTACAGACAAACCTGGGTGGACTGTGGGGTTTCAGTTTGGTGACCATCCCAACAAGTCATGCCCAGGAAGGGGAGAATTCAGGATAGGTCCAAACTGAAACAGATCATTTTTTAATTAGTACAGGAAGAAAACATGGAGAAAGCTTATTTTGCATCAATCAAAGATAAAATGCATGGATATTTTTCTAACATTTCAACTCCTTGTCTTTTGGATGAAACACTCCACTAAATACAGTCTTAATTGATGAATGTTTCCTGTTCCCTGAAGATCAATTTGCTTTTATTTTCTTTTTTACAAATTTACTATCCAATAAGCAATTTCCATCCTGCACGTTAGGGTGCAAATACCTTTTCTCTTGGAAATCAATAGCAGATATCTTGCTAGATTCATTGAGACCAGAAATGCTCTGGGCTGCTGAAGATACAAAACTTTAATTATAAAAAAACAGAACACAAAACCTCTTAGCAAAAAAATAAGGTTGAAGATTTGCATATTTTGGTAGCCCAGTGTATTGGGAAAGCTGATTACCTTGGTGATTCCTGCAAACCAGTGTACCCAGTCTGCTAAGGACACAGCTACTGCAAACAAGGAAGAGCTGGAGATAAGGAGACATGGCTGCAAAGCCACTTTGCAAAGGGGGTCTAGTCTTTGGAAACTGCTCTGGAGACCCTGGCTGCTGAGCAAATCCTAGAGCAAGACACAAATTTATGGGCTCTATTCACCTCCAGGGTTTGTAATCTGATTTACCCCCAGCTGGAAAGGTGCATTACTGGCACAGCCCAGATTGCACTCCCTTGTGCTCCAAGCATCGCTTCTGAGCACCTGCAAAACACTAGTCATAAGAAAAATTACAGTGGTTTGGGGCTTTTTTTTTTTCCTTCTTAAAGGTACTTCATAGCAGTCCTAAAGCAGAAGCTATTAAGTGCTGAGCAGAGTTTAAAACCACAAAAGACTCTGCAGAGATCTATTTAAAAGATGTCTGTAGGTAACAATAAATAGACTTATTTGTAGTTTGGCTGTCTTCACAGTATATCATTCTGTTACATTTCTGTGGCTGGAATTCAGTGTCTTGATTTGACCAGTAAAAGCAGAAAGATAAGTCACAGTGCCAGGTTTTGATCTCCAAAAGCTACAGTGCATTTGTGAAATGCACTTGATGGACAGTTGTTGATTGTATCCAAAGGCTTCAGGCAAAGCAGTACAAATACTTTGTACTGAGCCCTGTCATCAGACACAGACCATCAACAGAAATGCTGTGGACTGCCATAGGACAGCCTCAGCCATTTCTGCCTTTGATGGGCACAACGTAAACAGGGGTATCTAAAATACTAATAGGCCACATATAGAAGTATTACATGTTACATACACTGTTAACATGTATAGAGACTTAAGTGTATCTTAGCTTTGCTAATTCCACGTCCACGTGAGAAGTGAAGTGCTGGAATTTGCTTCTCCTTGAAGTCCTGGTTTCCTCGTAGCATCTAAATTAATCACCACACTATGTATTTTGAATAAGTAAGGTAATAAATGTAAACAGAGAGTGCACAGCAAGACCAGAATAGCCCCATTACAACATCACAATGGGAAGCATTTCATTTGAGAGTACAGAAGTCCATCTTTCCAGAGCTATGTTGCCTCTTTGCCTCAGTTCTGGGATCTGGAATGATTTGGATAACAATAAGCCCTTTTTGCATACCTAGTGTTTTCATCATTGCTGACAAAACCATCCAGTGTATATTTGTGCTAGTTATTCTTACAGATATTGCTAATAGTGTTGAAGTTTTGAAGGCACGTAGATGAGGGCTATTTACTCAACAAACCAATATGGCAATTTCCAATTTATCTGGCAGTGATTAAAAAAGCAGTTTTCTGCTGGTATTAAACAGTGAGAAAAAAAACAAACTGGTGGACACTGTGTCAGATGTCCTGAATGCATGGCTTGATTTTCACTGGGAAGCTGGTATTGCTGTCAGACTGCTGATAAATCAATGCGGTTGGCTGAGTTGGTGCTTTTATCCCAGGTGTTCAGCTTTGTGGGGGTTGTGCCTGGCCTGTTCCCAGTCATCTGGAAAACAAAATAATATTGAAAAGAGATTTATTTATTTTCCTAAACCACTCTTGTCTGGATGAAATAAAAGCTTGAAAGAATCCATTTACATGACAGGGCTGTCACAGAGCCCTGAGAGCATGTGCCATAAAGGGTTTTTAAACAGTTGTTACCGGGATCGAAGGTGATTGGCAGTGATCACTTAATTATCCCTATCACTTCCAGAGCCTGGTTATTTATAAAAACAAATGTCTTTTCCTCAAGACAATTTAAGGAGAGCTAGAAAAGCGTATTCAGATGTTGACTTATTTAAGAGTTCATTCCTCAGGCTTAAACGTAAAAGTGCCCTATCAAAAAGCCATCAGCATCAGACAAACACATTGCCAAAATGCTGCTTGAATTTTTAAGAGGAAGTCTACTACAAATGGTGGGAACAGTCCCATAGAACCATATTCCAGAGTTCATGAAGCTTTGTTTACTTTTATTTGATAGGATGACAGAATTTGTTTGATATTTGACAGAATTTTGTCCTTTGCTTTCAAAGCCAATATTGTAGCTGCAACTTAATGCTTCCTGATTTCACCTGTCTATACCATGTGTTACGTTAGGTACTAAAAACGCCCACATGGCCTCTCGTGTCCTGTTCTTTCTGACAGAATTTAATTTGAAGCACTTTCAAGCACAATAGGAAAAAAAAAGAGAGGAGGAATACTCACAATGTCTGAATTGAAGGGTTTCACATTGATGTTGCGAGTTGAACTACTGGTAAGGGACCAGACCTTGGTTTTGTGCTTAAAGGCAGCTCTAACCTTTGGGGGAAAAAATTAAACCAGGCTGAAGATTTCTTTTGAAAAGATTGTGTTTGTTTTCACAGGTGCAGCCTACAATCATTTCCCCATTACCCTTCCTCCACATTATCATCACTGTAGTAAAAAGCAACAAACAATCTGCCCCTACATTTTTATTTATATTTATGGTCTTATTCTAAAATTTAACTTTGCTTTTCCAGTACTCATACTTTAAATACAAATAATTTTGTAAGCTCAGGTACGTCTCATTTCACTGGCAACATTTTCATGTTATCTGGGTTATCTCATCCTCCTAGATGTCCAAAGTATGACTGTATTACCATTCACCTTGCTAAAAATAAAAATAATAGAGGCAAGAAATGAAAACTGGAGTGTATATAAGCATATATTCCCAGCATTTGAAGTCTTGGTTTGAAAGATTTCATAAAGCGCCATTATACTGATTTTCAGCAGCTCACTAGGACACTTTCATATTTTCTACCTAAATGTACAGCCCGAGGCTGGACCACAAGCTCCCCAGTTTGGGCAGATATTCCCTGGGATGTCCAAGGTATGACTGTATTACCATTCATCTTGCTAAAAATAATAGAAGCAAGAAATGAAAACTGGAGTGTATATAAGCATATATTCCCAGCATTTGAAGTCTTGGTTTGAAAGATTTCATAAAGTGCCATTATACTGATTTTCAGCAGCTCACTAGGACACTTTCATATTTTCTACCTAAATGTACAGCCCGAGGCTGGACCACAAGCTCCCCAGTTTGGGCAGATATTCCCTGGAGCTCACATGGCCCTGCTGGTGGTTCCCAGATGCCAGGAGGATGTAAGCCAACTGCCAGTCTTTTGAAAACTGAAATTACTTAAAGATGCTCGATGAAATTCCCTTCAGATGTAGGAAAATTCTGCACCAAGGTGAAAACAGTCAACTGTATAAAGAAAAGATGGTGAGACTGTCAGTCTTTAGGCAAGGAGGTGAGACTTATCAAGAACTACTGGCTGGCAGTGATTGACTAGTGTCACAGTGCTGTAATAAAGAACATCTTGTCAGGGGGAGCATAGGCTGCAAAACACACAAAGTAATCTCAAAGTAATCTTTCCTTCTTATTCTACACTGGCATGGGCTCAGCTACAGCACTGTGTCCTGCATCCCAGGAAAAGCAGGGCACGGCTGGGCACAGCCCTGAAGAGAGCAGTGAGGATGATCACAGGTGAAGCAAAACCACATTACAAGAAGCTCAGATTGATTAATCAAAGGAGGAGACCAGGAGAAGAAAAGATAAGTCACACAGTCTTCCCTTTCCTGTGGAAAGGAGGGGAAATATCTACTCTTTAAATGTATAGTAGCTGAAACAGGAAATTAGAAGTTCAAACTGCAGTAAGAAGGAATAAAGCTACAGTTTAGCAGTGGCAGTAGTGAGGCACAGAGTCAAACTGTTGGGTGAGGTCAAGGGCCTTTGTTGACCGAGCTGTCAAGGGTGACACTGGCACTATGGACATGGCCCAGGTCCCATCAGATCCATTCTCCTGTGCTCCTCTACAACGTGTGTGCATTCCTTGTTGGGGCACCCTGGGAATAAAGCCCTCTTTTTTACCCAACACCCTGGAAATATCTGCAGATTTCACTTTACAGTATCTGAGTTTTACTTCTATGGTCAGAACAAAATTCTCAAGAAGAATTCTCGCAGCTTAGCTGAAGAAGTATTTTAGATACACACAGCATATAGTGGAGCCAATAAGACTTGCTCACCAAAAATGACAGTTCACATTAGCTATATATGAACTGCATTTGGAGGACAGGAATTCTGAAAAGTTTCTGAATTTAATTTCTCACAAGGTTCCTGGAAAAATGGCAGCAATTCAAATTTTTTTTCATTTGCTGTAAGATATTTGAAGCTTGACAGCAGGAAGAAAGCTCTCTGAGCTTGGGGGAGAATAGAATTAAAGAAATATTCTTCTACCTTACCTTTAGCCTGCCTACTTAACTTTAGTTGATTTCAATAAAGATCAAGAATTTCATAGTCAGTCCTGCCTCTCCAAACTGATTGTAGCAAAGATTGCATTGATGCTTTGAGACTGATGAGGTTGGCAAATATTAATAAATAATAATGTTTCCACAGAAGATCTGGAGTGCTATGGTTGCATAGGAAGAAGCAGAAGGAGATGGGGTAGAGGTACTTAGAAGCAGCCTGAAGAAGGAGCTATAGAAGACTCAAAGGCTTGTGGGATTCACATGTAAGCAGTAGCCCCCACCAGCATGCTGGAAATGGTTTCCATAAGAAATTTTGTTACAAATAATATGTGTTGCTGAGCATTTTCTGCTGTCTGCCATGGGAGGAGAGGATTCTGCAAGCTCCAGGCCCAGCAGAGATGGTCTCCACAAGCTCCATTTACATCAGCCTTTCCTTGGCTTTAGCCTAGTTGCTCTGTGACAGCCTTAGTGCAAAAACATCTCTCTTAGTCCACTTTAAAAACCTGAACTTCCTGCCAAGAAAAATACCTGGAATATGTTCTACTCTGGTTTTCCATTAACAATTGCATGGGCAACATCCAAAAGTCTGTTTTCCTGAAAACAATGTTTATTTTTCTCTCTGGAACTAGAGATGCAACAAAGCCAGAGACCCCCCCAGTGGGGACTGCCTGAGTGGGACTGCTCCCACTGTTTAAGCATCCTCTCTTAGCAGCATAGCCCATGCCCTGCTCTACTCCTCCAGACCTCAGGAGAGATTCTTTACTTAGTCTTGAACTGCCTTCTCTTATATACATTTTTTTAAACCTTTCTTATGTTAAATAAAACAAATGTCAAGCACGGGTCAATATGCCACAAGTCACAAAGTCACTGCTGTCACGTGTTAATTGACAGTAAAAGGCAATGGGTGGCACAGCAGGCAGTGAGAATGGAGAAGATCTTCTCTTGTTTTACACCCCTGTTACTTGCATTAGGCAGTGCCAAATTCGTTACCACCATTTGGTTACCTACCTCTGAATTCAGAAGACAGTGAAACAGGAACATGAAGAATCCCTGAAAACAGATAAAAGGGAGAAGGGTAAAGACTGACTATGAAGAATGAAATCCAATAATGTGCTTCTCGCTGTATTGTATAAAGCAGGTATTGAGTGGCTGGAGATCTATAAATAATGAAGAGCAGGCCAAGCTGTGCCCAATGTTAAACTGAAGAAACCTGCAGCATTACATTACTGTGAGGCTTGTCTGGACCTTTTCCTGTGAAACAGCAACTCCTAAACTTCAGGGTGCTAAAGGAGAAATATGGTTGAAAAGAAGCAGGGGTTCTGTTCTCATGAAAACAAGAGAACTCCTTGTGCTTGCAAAGATTAAGGCAGAGGGAAATGCTCTTTGGGAGACACGGGACCAATATTTATCACAAGAGACAGCAAGATATTAGCATTAGGAAAACTTTCACAACAGACTTTTGTTATCTGGGCTTTTTGTCCAATGGAAAGTGAAAAGGTACAATCCCCTTTGCCTCCCCCAGATAGTTTTATTTATTAATGTATACTTTTATTTTCTTTTGAGAAGAATTCAGTCAAACTGATGGGCTTTATTTTGGATGAAAATTGGAACTTTTCCTACCAGCTTATGGGGAGAACTGTGTTGCTTTCTTTTTGTAACCACAGTGCTATTTGTTCCTAAGACAAAAATGTATCTACAGGAGTTCTTTTTTTTTGCCCCTTTCTTAACCATTATTCAGTGAAGAATTATAAAACACCTATAGATTTACACTCTACTGAAATATCTGCTTAAATCTAAGCAGATGCTTACTTTTCTTCTTGGACAGAGGTATTTTTCTGGTTTTATGTCCTAAGAAGATGAGGGTCTTGTTGCCTGCTCACAAGAGTCATGTACAGCATGCAGAATAGCTCCACTTTTTCCTCATGCCACACCGTTCCCCCAAACTTCTGTTTGCTTTCATTTAGTGCCATGGTAAAGTCTCAAACTGACACTGAAAAATTGTTCTGGTATCTCTGCTGAAGAATCTTGCTTGTGGTACATGGTACTGGAAGAATTAATTTCATTTCTCAAGCTCATTGTCTCATTTATTTAATTTTTGTTACTGGAAACTAAGCAATGGGATAAAACTTCTGCTCATACAGAGACTAAACAATTGCCAGCACTGGAAGGTCAGCACAGACTTAAAACACTGAGGAAGGAACATAGAAAAAAAAATCCAGTAAATATGAGCATGTGAAAACATCACTAATGATCCATTTATTTGCTCTCAGCAGCAGTTCAGTAGCCATAAACATTCCCACCAGGTACTTACCTGTAGTGAATTGAAAACAGCAAATATATACTGAAATACTAATGCATGGGCATTGACAGCCAAAATCCCAAAGATCCATGAGCTTCCCAAGATCGGTAAGAGAACAGCAACGGCTTTAGCTGTTAGTCTGAAAGAGAAAATAAAAAATAGGAAATGTGGTGAGACAGCTAAACAAATTTCAGCCTCCACACTAGGTAGTTTATCAATTATGTCCTGGCAGCAAGGCAGAGTGTGTGTGACTCTCTTCATCATAAAAATCTTCTAATGGACAAGTCTCTTAATTACTCATTTCTTATCTATGCAGATGGGGATAACAGAACTTCAGTATCACATGGGCTGAATACAGATGGACATAACTAAGAGACGGAGAGGTGGTCATAGAACTACTGTAGTCATAGCTTCAGTTTACAGCCAAGTATGGCTTTGTCAGAGAGGAGTCAAGTGTAAGAGTCAAAAACAGAGAGTAGAAACTGAGAACAAAGGCAGCATCACAGGGAAACCTAAAGCCACTATACAGTACCTCCAAAATACGTTTGCTCAGCACTACAGCTGAGTCACAACAACACAGTATTTCTCTTACAGAAAGAGGCTTGGGATTTTTAATCACCACAAATGGGAAGAGACAGGATGTACCTCTGCCAAATGCAAATCCTCTAACACCCTGGTATTATTTGGCTACCACTCTGCTTCCTTCAGAGCTGATTCAGAAAAAATTATGCCAAATATTGAAATAGCCTGTGTTTCTTAGAGGCCATTACTGATATGTGTTCACTCTGCTTAGCTTGGAGGACTTGGCAGAATTCCAGTAAAAGGTGGTATGAAAGCTGAAAAGCTAGTAACACTGAGAAAATAAGAGATTTTGGTTTTGCCTTAACGACTTATATACAGAATATTTGTTATAGTGGAAGACAAAAAGAAATTGTAGTATACTGGAGAATTAAATGATTATAGAAAGTTTTCTGCAGCAGCTGAATTCTATGGACCAAATTGTATATAAAGAGTAAACACAAAGAAATCCACAGAGAAAACAAAGGCATTGCATTTAGAATTGTAAGATCACAGTTAGGTCTCTGCAGTGTATTCATAGCCTCCTACATTAAACACAAAGAACTATGCACTTCCCCCAAGGAGCTCATTTCCCTCATCTGTAACAAGAATTAAGGGCAGCCAAGCCTCACAGAGCACTCAGGACCCTGTAGAAAAGGTACAGGCAACACTTGCATCTGTCTCCTGCTTTGACATAAACATGTCATGTTTGCTAATATTGCTGTGCAGATGAATGCCACTCAGCCACTTCCAAGGAAAGCTGACAAAAATTAACTCACAAAGATTATTGCTTATCCCACACAATTGTCTTCTCCCTGTGAAGCCCTCAGTGAATCTCTGATTCACGCTAATGAATTGCTCTAAAGAATTGTACTTTTGTGTCTGCATAGACCCTGTAATATCGACTTAAAGGATGTTGTAGTCATAGCCCTACAGAGCCTTTCTAGTGTAATCACAGAAAAAATAGGAAGGCAACTGGATTACATTATGGAAGTCCTTGCCACAGGATGCTACAGCTATCTAAAACGGATCTTATAAATTCACAGAAGAGAGTTCTGTTGTGGATTGTTAAGATGCAGCCACTTGTGTGGGAAGTCCCTAATATCTTGTTTGCTGAAAGGTGGGAGTAGGTGTTCAGAGACATCATTCAGAGACAATCACTCTGCTTGACCTTTCTAGTGGGCATGGCAGTCTCTCTTCTTAACCTAATCCATCCAACTCTTAGATTAAACCAATAAACACCTCCCCAGCTCGTTTCCACATCAATTTGCCCATGTAAAGGCAGGTGTAAAACAGAGCAGGGCCAGGTGACCAATAATCAAGATAATAAGTCATCACCCACGTTTTCCCAGCAAGTGCTATACATCTACTCCACAGCCCTGGGCAACCCAGAGCGTTCCTGATGTCTGTCCACTCTGTAATCTCTCAAAAACCTCCACCACTCCCACAGGGGAAAACATTTCTGCTGTCAGGATACTACTAACCAGACAGCCCAGTGCAATTTTGCCTGTCAAGGACAAATAGATATGGAGGCTTTGCACACCCAGGCACCACATTTTCAGTGATAGCCATCAAAGGACAAACTTCCTCCTTGCAGCCGAGTACAACTTCGGTGGTACGACACAGAAAGCACGAAGAAGTGCCTTGTCCCCATTTAAAATACCCTGAACCAACACAGCAGATAGAGCTAATCCCTACTAACCACAGCACTCAACTCCTGTTGTAACCTGTGGAATTTAAGCACAAGCTTGCAATTAAATATGTTTAAAATATTTCAGTGAATTTCCTCTTTGGTGCCAAATGGCACATATAGTTAGAGATAAAGCAGCCAAGAGCGCAGTAATGGTAACAGGAGTAGTGAGAAAATAAAAGTCAGTCCATGCTCTCAAAAGCAACAATTTTTTTTCAGAAATTAGCAGATTTCTATTTAGCTGGAAACCTGTGGAAGAGATAAAGTTCTGCTAGGGAGATTAATGTGCCTTTTACCCCCTCACACAGATTAAAGTATAGGTTCAGGAGAGAAGTGCATAGAGCTGCATGACAAGAGTCCACTTGTAATTACAACAAAAATACAACAAATGAGAATTTTGTACAACACAATACAATGAAGAAATCCTTTAATTAAACTTAGAGACAAGATATCTTGTTCATTTCAGTGACCTGAACACACACTTCGTTATATTCTTAATTAAAAGTGTATGTGAAGGACCACATAGGCTTCAGGTTTATAGGGGAGTCTGGGATATGGAAGAATATGGATTTTTTTTTTTTTTCTGTATTGATTCATAACTTTATGTCCTCGGCCATGAATATTTCTACACAATTCAATTTAATTCTGCAAAGAGTTTGTTCAGCCAGAAAATAAAGGAAAACCTTAAAGCTTGAGCTCTCCTATGTAATTTAAAAATACATTTTAAAAGATACAATTTAAAAATAACTGATACAAGTTTATTTTCATGAAGCTTTTGGTTTTTTTTCCTCTGCTAAGATTGAAGTTCATTGCTTCACCTCTAATATAAGACATGCTCCACTGGGGAGCTGCCAGAAGACGACCTCCTGCAATCAGCTTTGTGCAGAAAGACCTCTCGAATCCTACAGAGCCCCTGTGCCTGCAGGAAAATGCCTCTGTGCAGGGCTTGAGGCAGGCCTGGGGGAAGGATATGCAAACACCTGGAAGATGGATGAGGTGCATTCAGATTCCATGATGGTTTAGATGTCCTCTCTAACCTTATCCAGCAGATGATTCGTATGCCCAACACAGCTACACTTGTAAAACTGTCTTCAAAACAAACCACCCTTTCTTCTTTTTCTCTTTTGTTCTCACACCCTCACTTTTTACAAAATCTGCAGTTTGGAATATAATTTTCCCCAGCTGGTTTGAGACAAAATAACAAAAACAAAAATAAGTTTTCAGCTTTTCTTTTTGAGTCAGAGCAATAAAAGGTTCATCTGTAATTTGTATGGGGGCAGAATAGGGTTAGGTACTCAATTCCAACGTTTTCAAAATCATTCTTACAGTTTGGGTTTGCAGGAGTCTTTAACATCAGAAAAGCCTTATATATCTTTTAAAATAGCATAGTAATAAAGACAGCTCACTGTTGAGCACAGGGTTCAGCACATGTGCAGCAGAAATACATAGCTAAAAGCAGAAACAAAATACAGATGTGGGATTTTTTTTGTGCAAATGTATTAATGTTTCATGCACATCTATTTAGAAGAGTAGTCACATGAGGGTAAAATTCATTTAAAACTATCTAAGGGTCAGTTCTGCACATGTATCACTTAAATCTCATTGCCTTTTTTTTTTCTTCTAATTATTACACAGCTTTTTTATGCTTGTGTCCTCTGAATTTTATTCTAGGTACAAAATTATTCATTCAATGTGTTTATGATCTCTCCTCACCAAGCAAAAGACTCAGCTCTATTGTCCCTGATCCTCTTTTATTTTCTTCTACTTACCTCTCCCTTTCCCATCCTTATTTCATTTTGTCTTTGATCTTTAAAAAAGAAAAGTACTAAATGTAAAATGCTGCATCAGGATACCGTTAAGGTGGCAAGGTTAAAAAGTCTTAGAAATACAAAAGTTAATGTTCTACTAGACACATTAATTCCAATACACTGCACATACTTTAGTTTTTTTTATTCCCATTTTTCTTTGCTGTGTGAATATTTTAGTAGCTTAGTTCTAGTACCATAGGATATAGAGTGCAATCAAATACATGTTTTGGAGAAGGAATACTGCATGACTTAAACTGTGCAACCTTCAAAAAAAGAGTGACTACCATCACTTGAGCTTTATATTGTCTATGAAATTGGTGACATGAAGAAGCAACACTTTGGGGCAGTGGCAGGTCCTTGCAGATATTGAGGTCCAGCCCCCTCCCAGGACTTCATAAACCTTGCTAAAATCTTTCTTTGTCCTCGTGCCCTAGTGTCTCAGAAAACAGAATGGTTGTTGCTTTGTAATGGACCCTTTAAATTTCTCCTGTGTGCCCCTTCTCGTGCTCTGGCCTCTGAGCCTGTTTCTCACATACATACATTTTTAAAAGCTCAGATATTGTCACTCTTCTGCAGTCTAACAGCATTAGGTTTGGTGAGATTTTTGTCTCTCTGAATCTATACACACTGAGTGATCAGTCCTGGAATTCCTTGGGAACAGGGCAGAACCAGCACAAAAGACTTCTTTTCTCCTTTCTATTGTTTCCTTTTGCCTATATATATATACATATATATTTGAAGTATGTACATGTTATTACTTTGTAATACAGACATCTTCTGGAAAATACAAAAATAACTTGAGTCTGATTAAATTTTTATATCCAAGAATAGCCTTTGGGATATTACCAGCTGTACAGAGCCTCTCAGTTCAGCCTGCAGCTCGGGCTGTGGCTCACCCTGCCCCAACACTGCCAGTCTCTCCAGCTGGGCTGCAGAGCCTTCTCAAGCACTGTTCACCAAGAGCCACTCTGCCATGATTTATTTCATTTCGCTCAGATTTGCATGGCTGTTGGTGACAAAAAGCAAGCAGCAATGAGTTAGTACTGCACAGTGCCCCAGCCTCTGCCATCAGAGCTGCAGAGG